CATCACTGCTGAATTTTCCAAACAAAAAGCAAGGAATCAGCCATAAATTACTTTTGTATTAGTTACTTGTTTATGATTTTACCTCATTAACATTACTTCTGCTTCTACCTCAAAAACTGGTTCTACGATTAAAATGGATAGATAAAAGAAATGATGAATACTCTTATTTGGTGCTGTCTTATGAGCTAAAGTGAGCTAAAGTCATTGAACAATATACATCCAATCAAATGTGTCGGTCTATCAGTTAAACCAATAAATGAATAATAAATGAAGACATTTTGAGTTTACAGATTATCTGTACTGTTTATTCATTCTAAGGTCTGTCAGCAAAATTGTGCCAGTTTAGTGTTTTATTCTAGATGTTTATGTACTTTGTTGCAGCGGTTATCATAATTTATCTTATCTTATATTGGATGGTAATGAAAAAGAAACTTTGTCCTTGGAGCTTTTGCCAGTTGTCCACTGGGCTGGTTTTGAATGAGGATAAATTTTCATATTTTGGCGCCACTGCTGTTTCTTCCACCTATTTCATGTGTTTCTATAAGTACTATGTAAATGCATTTTTACACTGCAAGATATTGGCCAAGACATGGACACGTTATGTCATAGATTTTCCACTGAAGCAGGAGCTGAACGTAGGAGACACACCTTAGTATTAATCCTGGAAATGCTGCAAAGATGTCTGGCATTTCTTCTTGACAAAACTGAGGTAACCAAAGTGGATGGATAGAATTTTATTACTTAAGTAATAAACTTAAGATAATTAAGTGTCTGCTGCTGTTTTCTATGAAATGCTCTACAACTTGCATATTAGTTCTGTCTTTGAAGAAGCTAAACTATTTAGTATTTGTTCATCCTGCTCTTCAGCTCTTCCGAAGAACAACACGACATGGCCTTGCACCAATGAAACATGCAGGTTGCAAATTTTCTCTAAAGTGCAGAGTATAATGTATTTGAGATATTTCTTGCAGCAAGTAGTACAACCAGGAATAGAACTGCATTTTACTGTTTCTGTGGTTAACGTCTGAGAGCATGAATTCCTATCAGATAGTCAAATGTGAAAATTGACTAATCTGAAATATTCAGAAAACAAGAAAAAGAGTTTTTTCTAAAACAAAAATTCTAAATATGTTTTAGAACGTTCGTGTGGGGAGGTAAGTACACATCCAGTGTGACAGGAAGTGTACTTTTAAGCCTGTTCTATGTTAACCAATCAAATACATTTTATAGTCTAACCCAACATGTACAGTTCTCCTCTTAGACCTGCTGAAACACCACAACAGAAGAGGAGTGTCAAGATGATCATATTATGGGCGGCATTGCTTTTTCTCCATCAAGGCTGTAAGTGCGTTTTTATTCTGATTATATGTCTGAAATATAATTATTTATGTTGAATAGATTTGTATGTGTATATACAATAACAAGAGTATTTTTCAATTTTACATTTTTTTCCCCTCATGATTTTTTTTTCTATGTTTTGTTTTCACTCAGATTCTCTGGTTCCAGTGAAAACCGCTCATCTTGGTGAAGCAGCAACTTTAACATGTGCTAGAACTACTAAAGAGCTCAGCAGTCGAGTCCAGTGGTACAAGCAGAGTGTCGGAGATACTCTTAACTTAGTTGTTACATTTTATGGAACTACACAACCTGTTTATACTCCAGAGTTTCCTGAATCAAGATTTGAGGCAAAAATTGACAAAAATTTTGTCAACCTGACTATTGTGAAGACAGTCCAAGAAGATGAGGGCTACTATCACTGTGAGCAAGGCAGTCGTGTTAGTAGTGAATGGAGCGGGATGTATTTGTCAGTAAAAGGTATGCAGCTGTTCTACTTTTACAAACATTTTGAACTTCTCTGAGCATCTTTTGAAGAATGTCTTTGTGTTTTGTATCACACAGGAAACACTCAGAGGTCATCAAACTACATCGTTGTCCAAAAGCAGATGGAATCAAATCCAGTCTATTCAGGAGACACAGCGACTCTCGAGTGTTCAGTCTTCTCTGATTCTGAGAACGAGACGTGTCCAGGAGATCAAAATGTTTTCTGGTTCAGAGCGGGATCTCATCCAAACATCATCTACACTGACAGGAAAAGACATGAATATGAGAACAGATCTGACCCTCAGAAAAGATGTGTTTATGGCTTTTCTAAGAACGTCAGCTCCTCTGATGCTGGGACTCACTACTGCGCTGTGGCCGCATGTGGGGAGATAATATCTGGAAATGGAACTAAACTTAATATTCAAGGTACCTGCCCCATTGATTTTTAAATTAATCCATATAATATGTAAATTATATAATATTTAAGTGCCAGTATGTACAGTGACAATTAATTAATACAATTTTTATAACTTTGAGGTAACATCAATCATCTTTTTATTTTAGCAACCTCTAACTTTTTGTTGTTGTAACTTTTAATATTGTTTCAGGAGACACTCCGTCGTCACTGCCAGGAAGTACAGTTATTTTTCTGCTGTGTGTGGGTATAATTCTGATTGTTACAGCTGTCCTCATTTACACATTCAAAAGAAACAACAATGATCATCACAAAGGTAATCAAAGTTACTCACAGTTCGCTGCAGATCAAAAGTTAAAAAATCTTACATTTGTATTTATTGTCATCTGTCTGTAATCAAGCACTTGTCCAGCAGAAAAACTTGTGTGGTCAGAAAACACAACAGGTAAAGTACTTAATGACAGCAATATTCTCAGAAATATGAATCTTTCATGGTTAAGTTTTGATCTTTCCAATATATTTTTTCTTTCCCCATTTCCCAGAATAAGGACACATGGATGTTTTCTGCTGTAGTCTTTACCATGATGGAAGCTGACAGATGTGAAATGAAAGAGTCAAAGGTGGTGGAAAAGCATGAAATCTACAGAGCTGTGAAGGCCTTTGGCCTTGAATAGGTGATCAAAAGCGTGACTGCTTATAGTTAATAAGTTTTTAGCTTTGTTGTAGTTGTGTATGTAAATTTGCACATCCATGTAGATCAGAGCTGAACTGCAAAATTGCTGTATTTCTGACTGAATATTGCATTTTTTAAATCTTATTTCTTATTTTTACGTCTTGGCTTTAATCTAAGTTCTAAACACATCAAAGTAATTATGTTGAAAATGTTGAAAATGGCCATTACTGAAATCAAACAATGGATGTGACCTGATAGATGCCCACAGCGGCCTAAAGCAATGCAGAACAATTTTAAGAGAAGATATTTATTCTTTAGATGCTTAATACATGCATATATTTATAATAATAATATAAAAAGTATTCATAATGATATAATTATAATTATAATAATATAAATACTATGTAAGAAATTGCAAAGTTTTATGACTATAATAATGATGTCTGTGAAAAAGAAATTCCATGTGTCCTGTAATCAGTCTTTATTCAATTGAATTATATTTTATTTATTTTGGGACAAATCACAACAGTCACTTCAAGACACATTTGTCATTAATGCTGAAATTATTCAAATTTATGAACACAAATCTGACTGTCTGGCGCTGTTTATCCTTGTTGCATAATAGACGAGTGCATGATAAAACCTGTTAACCAAACTCGACCCCTTTGTTCTTCAGACATTGTCATCTATCAACAGATCTTCTGGTCCTTTAATTTTAATCTTAAATAAACATTGCTTGACTTGACATATTGCTTCTCCATCCTATCTGTGTGCATATCTATGTATGTTGTTGCTCATTAGTGGTGACAGAGCTCTCAGCTGATTGTTTAGTTCGTTACCTGCAGCTGAAGCTGCTCATCGGGTCCACCTGATGTCAAATAAATTCATATTCAGCTAAGACTTCGATCCAGAGTGGAATGAGAAACATTCAGTACAATTAAAAACTGAGCAGCTTCTTTTCAGCTCACTTTCAGTCTAAACTTGAATTTAAAATTGTCATGGTTTTCAATTTTGTGTGTATGAGATTCACCTGTTTTTCAGTTGGCGCAACACGGTTGAATACACGAGAGAAGCATGTGCTTGAGACAGATTAAAGGCAGCCATGAGTTGGTTGGATCACTGTGTGTTCAGATATTTCACCTGGGCCAACAGTAATCACTGATTACATCCAGAAATGGAACTTTTTAATCTACCAGCTTCATCCTATAATACCGAGGATTACTCTTGAATGGCCCTCGTCATGAAGGACCCAAGCTCATATCAGGAGCACCCAGAGGAGGTTAGAGTGGACAGATGGCCCATGGCACAGAGAAATCTGAAATTCATATCCATTAAACCTCATCATTGAACAAGCTAACCTGCCTTAAAATGTCATTTATAAATGTAAAAATAAACATTTATCCTTAATGAGCTAATATATAATAAGGTTGCTGAACCATTATAAAGTCTAAATAAGCAATTAAAAAAGTATTTTATGCACATTTATGTATGTGGTGATTAAGATATGAGCTTATTTCATTTTGTAATTAATTGGTAATTCAGGCAGTCACAAATATTTATTGGCAGATGCAAACATAACCCACCTGAGGTTTGCATAATCAAAAGTTTTTAAGGTTGGTTAATCAGTACAGTAACACATACAGTAATATAGTGAATATTATTAGTACTGCATACTAAAGCGTCTTCATTTAAAATAAAATATAAATAAGGTTATCACAAAATCACAGTGAATGTTTCACAGAGCTTCACAAACAAGTGTAAACACTATAATCATAATAAATGGAAAATGTCTCTGTTGTTTCTTTAGTTCATTCCTGAGGTTCAACTTTCCAGGATGGAAAAAAATCATTCAAGACATTCATAATGTTTTGCATCCAGTAGAAATTAACTTTCCACCACTTCCAGAACAAATAGAAAATCTGCCTCAACCACACATTTCTTCATTAAACAACCGATGAGCACACTGTGAATAAAGATTAATGGGTTCTGTTATAAGACGTGTTGAACTTAAAGTCAGACTTTTCAGCGGCTCTTCTTTAACTTGGCTAAATCAACATACTAAATGCATTACATGGTCAGCAGTAATATTAATACAGTAACCTTTAAGCGGCAGACATATTATCTACTGAAGGAATATGTTTTAAATGTGTGACTTCTTAAGCTGTACCTCACTAACACTACTGACTGAAGCCCAGCTGTAAAATTGCAGTAGCACAAACTGTATAAGCCACATTGTGATAAGAATTTACTTGATAACTGATAACATCAACCACACACTGTCTCTGATATAGGTGTAAGAAAAATCACCGTCTGAACTGTGCAAGACAACATGAGCAGCTATGAAAAGCAGGCGCGTCTATGTGACAGACTGCAGCACAGGAAATGAGAAGAAAACACACACACGGAAAAATACAGAGAAAAAAAAAACATAGCAAAGCTGACAAAGGCATCAAAATGACACCTGTGAGGTGACCAACATGTGTAAGCTGAAGAACGACTTTATAGGGTTTCAACACCTGTGATGCTTTTGTTCAGTACTGTGTGACTTTGAAGAAGAAAAAGGAAGAAAGAAAGAAAAACAAACAATCTCAACTTTAGTTTTTTAACCAAACAAGACCTGCCTGACAAACTGTACATAATAATCAAGTACAGTGCGTGTCATTCATTTCAACATTCATGACTTAATTTTAACTTAAGCTTCTTAACTTATAGTGTCTTGGACAAACAGTTATTACAGACACAAGACAAACTGGTTTGGTTTATTAGGATTAATCCAGTGTGTGTTGTGTGTGAGATGGAGTGCTTGCTTAGAAATGTGAATGAAGAAAAATAAATAAATAAATGAATAAAACTGAGTGAATAATAATACAAACAACAGGAATCGATCTATCTACAGTGCTATCTATGATAAATATATAATACTTAAACAGTTATAGAGCACTATCCTAGAAAGGCACTCCTAACAGTGCTTATGCATCTAGCCCAGAAAACATGTCACTGTGAGAGGACGCCTGGGCAAATTAGCAGGGTAGGTCAAGCAACTCAGTAAATAAATTAAGTAATTAATTCTGGGATATCAAAATTATTTTCTCTTACATCTTTTTTTAGGTTTAGAAGTATAAGAATTGTGGACCACTCATAAAGTCCACAGGGAACGCTAGCAAATTAAATAGTCTATCTACATTGGTGTGTAATTTACAGGACAAATGGGTGGATGGAGGGATGGATACACTGACACAACTAGATAATGTTGATATAATTATAATAGTAATAATAATAATAATAATAATAATAATAATAATAATTTTATTTGAAAGCACCTTTCAAGACACCCAAAGGTACAGAAGAGGATTAGGGCCACTGGGAAAAAAAAGTGGGCACGTCTTTTTTTTTCTTCTTTTCCTGAATTCTGAGAAAAAAGTCGGAATTCTGAGATTAAAGTCGGAATTCTGAGAAAAAAGTCGGAATTCTGAGATTAAAGTCAGAATTCTGACTTTTTTGTCAGAATTCTGAAAAAACTAATTTTGATGAAAAAGTCAGAATTCTGACTGTGGCTGGCTACTTGTCTGCTTGCAACGGCCCGCCAAACCTGTTTACTCAGTACGCACATGAATTTTGCTGTCAACAGGATCTGTAGCTTTTTCACAAGAAGCCTTCCCCTGTCAGGACTATGTTTTATTTTGACTTGTTGAATAAGTGTAGGCACTACCTGCAGCCAGGCTGACAATAAGAAAAGATTGTGCAGTAATTTGGGTTAAAAGCCTTACAAATGTGTATCACATGCCACACACAGCACACACGAACACTTTGTATACAACTTGTATCTACACCAGTAGCTTTGACAAAATGATATGGCATACGGATAAGAATAAGATGTATTAAAGGAATGTTCAGACAGGATGAACTATCCTGTCTGATGGCTCTTCTACTGATGTTTTCTTCTCTGATAACATATTATAACCATTAATTAGGACAGGCACAATTCAGTTATGAATATGTAAGCATTACTTTGTATCAATTTAGATTTTTTAAAATCCTGATATCAAAAGATAGTATTTTTTTCTCAAAGTGTACTAATGTTTTCAGCAATTGTGTTAAGCTTACCATATTAAGTGACAGCATGCATAAATGTCAGAAAGAGAAGTGTGTGAGGGGCAGATGAGCGGTCTCAGTCGCTTACACCTTTCAAGATGAGACCAGTAACTAAGCAACACCTTTCCTTAACTGAACAAATAATAAAGGAAACCACAATGCAGCATAGAACAACTTTCATATCAAAGAGCATGCATTTGCATGATACACTGAAAA